ATATGCAACAAATGAAGATTATCAAATGGCTATACCAACTCTCTCATCGGCGATGTTAAAAATTGCAAATATTGAGGAAACAACGGATGTTAAGTTAGAAGTAATAAAATCAAAGTTATATAAAATTTTACAAGATAAAGATGTATTAGATATATAGATGCTCAAGTTTTTAGAATATATATATAACTTTATTTTTTATATATATAAAATTAACAAGCTTTTTATAGTAATGTTTATAAATCTTAAATATAAAAAAACTATATTTTATAAATATTTTATAGATTAATTATATTAAATTTGATCAAAAAATGTTTCTATTTTTTTACATATACCAGGAACGTAGTGGATGGTTCAATTCGAGTTTTGCGTTCGTACACAAAATCTTAATTCTGATTGGATGTAGTGATCATATGATAAAATTTTATGTCTGATCTTTGCTTTTTTTGGAAGTTCGGCTAACTTACATATCGCATAAATTGTATTCTTGATATTTTTATATATAAATTTTCATACTAACTGATCAAAAAAGTACTCTAAACCGACCCTATCGGTTCTACTACAAAATCCCGACATCCAAATTTCGAAAATCATAATCAATTACCGTCGACCCTCCCAAAACCGATAACCTGCCATAAACGATTAAAATTTGGTCCACCATGTCGGTTCTATAAGCAATATCCGATAACTTGTCATTTCTGATATCCGATAGGCAATTTCGGTTGATTATAGTAGCATGAGTGCATCTATTTGCGCAACAGATCACATGGGTTGGTACACAGCAAAACCATGCTTTGAAAGTTTTTAACCAAAATTGAGATTTTTATTGAGTTATATTCCCAAGTGCATGATTTATTCGCGGTAAAATTTTTATTGCACATTAACATATTACGATTTAGCACAATATCGTGCACAGTTTTTGGTAACCATATATATCAAATATTGCATCAAAATGATCAATCGTTGATATTTCTTAATAAGAAATTCGTCTCAAAGCATGGTTTTGCTGTGTACCAACCCATATGATATAAGTTGTTCAAGATATATAATATTTTTTGTGCATAGTTGTTTTTTGAAGGATAGGTAAAGTTTATGTATGTGTAATATTTTTTCAATAGTTGTATAGGGGTATTGAAGTGTATGAATTTGTGTAAAGTTAGTGTGAGTGTTTATATTAAGTTGAAGTTGGTTAAATAGTTGTATGATTTTAAATGTGGTAGTGTTTTTGTTTGGTCTGTCAATTAAGGGTTGTGGATGTTGAAGAATATTAGTGGTTGTCCATAAGTTATTTTGTAATTGTTGAAGCCTTATGTGTGTACTAGTACCCATAAGGTTTGGGTCATTGATTCTAAGTAGGAAGTTAGATATGTGATGTTGTAGTTGAATATCCCAGATATTTTTAATTCTATAAATATTGTGATTAAGCATGATACTATTGGGTGTTGTGATAGGTAATTTAGCTTTATGTTTAGCTGTAGTAAGGTATGATGATAATATTGAGTTGCAAGTGGTTTTCGGAATTACTATATTGTGAATATAGTATTCTAGAATTGGGATAATTACATTGTTGATAATGTAGGTGGCTTGTTTATCTGTTATATTCTTAGTTTTAAGTATGTCATTGAGTCCTAGTGCCTCTTGTTTGATAAGTTTAATTTGTTTGTTGTATTTAGAAGTAGCTGTGAACCAGCAACCCAAGAACTTAAATGGAGTGTGTATAGGTTGTGTGGTGATAGTGGAGTTCATGAAGTTGATTCGAGGTGTTGAGTTAGTGTTTGAGATAAGAATAGATTTGTGTGGGTTTACTTTAATATGGGCCATTGTATAGAAAGATGTGGCTGTTTGAGTTATTTGTTGAAGTTGGCTTACAGATGAGCTAAGCCATAACATATCATCCATATAGGCCAATATGGATGTAGATACAGATTTATTTTTATATTTTCTAGGATTGAGTTGTGTAAGCCATTAAACTGAAGATGTGTATCCTTTGTATTTATGTATATATGATTGATTAATAGATCATAGTAGATACGCCAAAGTAATGGTGTTATAGTTTCTCCTTGATTAATGCCATCCTTTACTAGATATGGTATTGTGAGACCAAAGTTGGTGATGACTTGATTATGTCAGTTGTGTAAGAGGTTTTGTATGATGTTTGTAAGTTGTAAAGATATGTTAAGTCTTTGTAGAGCTTTGATAAGGAGATGTAGATTGACAGAGTTATATGCTTTACTCATGTCTTGTGAGAGTATCTATATTTGTTTTTTGTTACAAGTAATGTCTTCTATGAAATTGTTAAGTATGTGTATTGGATTGTTTGTTGAGTTGCCTGGGAAGTGCAACATAATTATGTGGGTTAAGTATAGTATATGTTGTGAAGGTTTTTGTTAGTCAATTAGTAAGGATTTTGGTATAAAGTTTTTTAATATGTTCGATAAGACTAATTGGTCTGGTGTTGTTGAGGTTTCCATCGAATTGAGGTTTTTTGGAAATAGGATAAATTCTGCTGTCTTTCCATTGTTTAGGAATGTTTTGGATATTAATACATCTATTAAGAAGTGAAGTAATAGCTTGTATCATATTGGAACCAATATGTTTAATCATTTCATAGCTAATCCCTGATAGACCACATGCTTTATTATTAGGTAATTGTTGAATAGTTTGTATAACTTCTTCTGTACTGATTTTTCTGAGTACAGAATCATACCATTCTGTTCTTATTTCAGGTTTAGGTTGGTATTCGATTTTTCAATCTTGGTCAAAAATTGTAGTGTCATAAGGATGGTGTGCTGTCTATTCATCATAGTGATTACATATATGTTGTTTGATTTCGTCTGGGTTGTTGATAATATCTGTATCGGTCTTAATATTTTCAAAATGAACAGTGTTTTTATGCCAATTTAGTATACTGTTTATCATCTTTGTTGGGTTAGTGAGTAATTGGTCACATCTTTTGTTTGTAGCTAGGTTAATGTGCTGTCTAAGGTGTTGTGCATTTTTAAGATTTCTTGCATTATATAGTGTTTTCCAGTATTCCTTAGTTTCTCGTATCCATAAGGCTAAGTTTGATTGAAGGTGTGGTGGTGTATTGATGGTGAAGTTGTGTTTGGTGTTGAGGTTGTTAATTAAATCTAGTATATTGTCTGGCAATGTGATGTTATGTGTGAAATATTTTTGGACTCAATGTATTATATGTCCAATTGTTTTAAGATCTTTGTGGAGTTGTGTTGCTTTTGGAGTAAATGAATGGAAGAAGTTTTTTGTTATAATTTTCCTATTAGAAATATGTTGGTATGCTGTGTTGATAATACAGGTTTGTATCTTATACCATGTCTTTTCAAGGGATTTTGTTGTATCAGTATTAGTGGGAACTTGATGTGTGTCCATATTTGAATTAATTTGGTTTGTGAAAGATTTCTAGTTTTCTTTAGTCATTGATTTGTAGTTAACTACCCTTCTTTTGCACTTGAATTTTTAATTGGTTCTAGAAAGTGCAAATGGGAATAACCAGGTTGAGATTAGAATTTGGTGATCACTATTTGTGGAGGAAGATGAGTTATCTATTTCGAATTTATGTAGATATAGTATTAGTGTATCACTAGCCTATATGTAATCGATTTTAGTTTGATATCGGGTGCTTTGTCAGGTGTGTTGTAAGTTATTTGTATGGTCAGCTAAGTGTACATGTTGGTGCTATGTAGGTAGTTGAGTAGTTGGAATTTAGTAGCTGATAATACAGTTGTGTCAGTATTTGTATTAAAGTCACCAAGGATTATTGGGTGTAGGTTTAGTGCTATAGCTTGTTGTGTCCATGTTATGACCTTGTTTTGTATTAATTTACGATGTGTTATATTAGTTGAGGAAAGATAGACAGAGATAATGCAGAATCTGTGATCGTTTTTGAAAAATAGGTCTATTGCAATTGCACCTCCTGGGTGGTTGAGAATGTTTTAGATATGGGGTACCAATTGTTTTTGAATTATGATACATGTGCCTTCTTTGGTGTCTGGTAAATTTGACCAGTAGTAGGAGTAGTGGTCTGTATTAAAGAATTTTGTATTTGTGTTGTTAGAGATTTTTGTTTCAGTAAGACTGGCTATATGTAGGTTGTGGGTTAGGCAATAGGTTTCCTATAGAAGTCGTTTCTCTAGTGTATTATATCCTTGTACATTATGAGTAGCAATGTTTAGATATAGGGAGGAGTTGGAGTCCTGTAGGTTCCCTGTGGGTGAATATTGGTTGTTATGGTGATGGTGGATCGTATTTTGAGTAGGTTATTGAGTTGGCTCTATTTCATTGTCTAGAAACAAATTGTTTTCGATATTTGATGCATTAAACAGATGGTTTAGTGAAGTGGAATATGTAGTAGTATATGTTTTAAGTAGGGTTTATAAAAACTCTTTAATTGTTTTAATAGTTAGTGGAGTATGGTTTTGAAGTATGTTTGATTCATTGAGTAGATATATATGTGCTTCATGGTGTAAGTTGTGTAAAGAAAATCTCAGGTTAGGTTTATAGTTTGCTGATATGTTTTGTTGTAGATGTTAGAGAAATGATGCAATTGTGGTTTTTGTTATGATTATTGGTAGGTTGTAATATTGTAGAAATTTGTTGTAACATGTTGACAAGTTGCAGAATTCTAAGGATGTTGGTGACAAACTTGTCTGGTTGGTATCTTTTACATAGTCACTTGCCATATACCTGGTTCTCATAGTTTTCAAAGAACTTGTAGCCTGTCCTGTATGTTGGGTCTGACCCTCATTATCACAAGCCTTCAGGTATAGAGGCTTTACCACCCACCTTCATACCTCATTCCCCTTACTAACTACAATGGATGTATCTTTTAGTAAGGTGGTGGCTGCATTTATGTTATATGTAAAGATACCTTATATTCTTAATTTTAATATTTGTATTTATGTTTATACATAGTGTGTTTGTGATGTTTTGATAAAGCTAACATATAGTCCTACTCTATATGGCTAGAATAACCCTTATACAGTATTATCGTGGGTTTGCACTGACTATTCTACAATGTTCAGGGATATATTTATATATGTTGTGCCTCAGATCGATTCTCGCGTCAGATCTAATCTGACATGCATCAGATGCTGATTTGCAAGTGACGTGTGTCACCTGCCTATCGGTCATCTAATGTGCGTCAGATTAGATTTAATGTGCGTAAATTGTAATCTGACGCAAACAAAAATCACATGATAATAAACAAACCTTCATTAAAATTATAAACCAACTAAATTCTAAATTTATTAACATTTAAATATATAATTAAATTTAATACATACAATCTTTTATGCAATAATACTGTATACTGTATTAATCTTTATTTAAACATGATCGCCCACTATAGCAACAGCTTGTATATTTTAAATTCATTTTTTTACACTTGCACCTCTTATTATCACATGAATCCTTACAACCACAGATAGAACCTGATGTAGTTCCCACACTTTGCAGTCTTGCTGACTCATGAATCAATACTAAATTTATTGGAATATCATCAAGCTTAGGACAAGTGGTAGTTCCGAGTATTTCAAGTTCGCCTAAAGTGTAGCATATGCTAATTATATCAGATTTACATTCAAGTCAGTACTGATTTTTACCAGTTTTTTCCAAAACCTTACAGAGAAGAGTAGGATGATCAATACTGAATTGATAGATCTTTGGAATGCTTACTCTTACAAAATTACCACTTGAATATTAATGAGCTTCTTTTTTTTTAACATTTGTTGTGTCATCTTGTCAGTATACTGCTGAAGGTTCAGTGTGCAGATTCTCCTAAAATATCGTGATGATTAGAATTTAAATAATTGTTAGTAACATCAACAAGAGCTAGAATGTGATAAATTAGTATTGTATCCCAATCAATAACAATCATCAGATAAAGCACAAAACTTATTATTGCTATTAGATAAAGGCTCTTGATAACCAACACAATTCTCAAACGAAGGTTCAGAAGAACCAACATAATCAATAGGTGAAGGCACTAAACCACTAGCAAGGATATTGGGCGAAGGCATTAAACCACAACCTTGATTATTGGATGAAAGCATTAAATTTTTAGATAAAGACACAACAAACAAATTATAATGTATAAGGTTACCTATTTGCTTACCAGGTGAAGATACTTGATCACAACTTTGATTACTGGGCGAAAATGCTTGATTATCAGATGAAAGCATTGAATGTTTGGTTAAAGACACAACAAACAAATTATTGTATAAAAGATCAACTATTTGCTTACTGGCCGAAGACACATGATTGTAATTTTGATTACCGGGCGAAGGCACTGAACTACAACCTTGATTATCGGATAAAAGCATTAAATGTTTGGTTAAAGACACAACAAACAAATTATTGTGTGAAAGACCAACTATTTGCTTACTGGGTGAAGATAATTGGTTACAACTTTGATTACCGGGCAAAAATATTGATTATTAGACGAAAGCATTGCAGGAGAATACGGGAGGGAGGGTTTTAAAGTCTTTTTCGGTTAGTTCTTTTTTTCAGGTAATATTTTCCAGGGGTTGGTCGGAAATGAATTCATCCTCAGCTCCGTAGAATTCCGAAGAGCCTTTATCAAAGACGGCAAAGTCATTTTGAGAATAAATGAGTTTGATTGGAGTCTCCTGGACGGTTTTTTGTTTTAAGTTTTCTAAGACCGGATTGAGGTCATTCATTATTGCTTGCCTCCTTGGATTTTGGCTTGTTGGAGTTTATTGAATTCGGTGAGAAAGTCGTTTTGCTCTTTGGTGGCTTGAATTTTTAGATAAAGACACAACAAACAAATTATTATACAAAAGGTAAACTATTTGCTTATCAGGTGAAGATACTTGATCGCAACTTAGATTATTACTAGGCGAAAGCACTCGATTATAACTTTGATTGCCGGGCGAAAAATCTTGAGCACAACCTTGATTATCAGAAAAAAGCATT